TTAAGTAAGAGAGTCTAGTAGATCGCTTATTATATAGTATTAATATAAAAGCAAATAAGTCGCCTATAAGATGCTATTAAAGCGTCTATTAAGTAAAAAACTCATAAGTAGCGCTATATATAAGTAGAGAAGCTCTAGATAGTCTACTAGATAGCTAATTAGATTGCTAAGATAGAGAGTAATAGGTATAATAATAGTGTAACGTCTACAAAGAGAGTATATAGTAAACGGCGCTATAGGCGTAATATCTAAATTAGATATAACTCTCGTACTTATTAAGTAGAAATTGAGAATATAGAGGAAAGCGACGCGTCTAATAAATAATATCTTATTTTACTTATTACTAAAAATTGTAGTAGTGTTGCGTAATACTATTATAAATGTAAGGTACTAGGATTTCGTAGGGCGTATACTAGAGTAGAGTGCACACTAGTAAAATAAGTTATATAGATCTTCTATAACTATAATTAAGATAACTAGATATAATTCTCTCTACTTCTAGAACTTATACTTAACTTATGTATAAATATGTCTATAGGCTAATAAGCTAGGTCTCTACCTTAGAATCTTTATTCTTAATTATCTCTACTAATACGTACCTTATTAGGAAGTTAAGTAGCTTATTCTATAGCCCTTAATCTAAGCTTTATTTTTCTCTTATATAGTAGTAGTCTAGCTCTAAAAGGTAAGAAGATAGTTAGTAACCTATCGTGCTAAAAGTTAGGTCTCTATATTTTACTCTAATCTTAAACAACATCTTATCTATTTAAGTTAGTCTATTACTATATTAAGCGAAAACAAAGCTCAAATTTAGAACTATAGAATAAGCTACTAAACTTACTAACTAAGTAAGAACTAGTTGTAATAAGCTATACCCGTAGAGTAAAAGCACGTAATTATATTACGTGCCTATACCACGTGTCTATATCTTACCGCTTAGTTAGAACCTACTTATATAAAGAGTAGAGAAGAAAGTATAAAGAGAAGAGTATTATATATTATCTTAACTCTTATTATCTTTCTTCTTCTATACTATAGACTTATATAAACTTATTCAAAGGCCTCTTCGCCCTTAATATAAGAAGAAAGATTACTACTCTTTTCTCTTCTTGATACAAAAATAAAAAATTAAGAACAATCTCTATAAGTATAATAAGCGTGCTTAAGAGTAAGTTATAATACTATAAAAGACTCAAAATAGTCCTTATAAAACAATAGACTAGACAGCTAGAACTAATAAACGTAACCTTCCTACGAAGACCTTCTCGCTAATCATAAATAACTACGATCAGGTCTTAACTACGTAATAGTAGAAATCTAATAAGCTTAGAATATATTCTATAAATTTAAATAAATAAAAAACCTTCTTTATATAATTTAAGGCTCACTATTAACTAGTTACGTATAGACACCCACGATAACTTTAAGTAGTAGAAGTTAGTAACCTAGGCCTAACTTAACGCTTACCGCTAGACCAGCTATACAATGCTTTAAGAAATTAAGGCTCTCTAACATAGAAGTCTTTAATAAAGGAATATATAATAAATACTCCTAATAGAAAACCTATATATAAGTAAAGTTCTTTACTAGATACCTTATAACGTGGTTCACAAGCGAATCGCTCACCCAAGCGAATCGCTCGCGCCCCACCAGCGCGATAACTTCAACACTATAACGCGTCATGTCTCANCAACGCAATTATCTATCAACTTATCTTGAATCAGATCTCCAGCTTGCTCTTCTTGATGTCCAATCGCAACGTATTCAAAGTCAAAAATGTGCTGCCGCTATCTATAACGTGCCTCAAAGAACTTTG